TAAATTTCTAAAGTTGGACAAATACCTGCATACACAGAACTAAAATATACTGCAAATGGACATTTATTCTATTTACAAATTCTGAAAATGTAGAAGTATCATTTTTTTTCTGCATTATAAATACCAATGAAATATTTTGGACATTTGTAAATGGAACATTATATTTCTACTAAATAAATTGTGTATGATCTTGAAATACAGTGCTGGAAAAACAATAAACCGTCTCTCAATAGCCCCACTTCTGCTCCTCTCTAAGATCTGCTCCAAAAATTTCTCAGTTGTCTGGAACAGATTTGAAGATGAGAAGAAGCTGGATCAGGAAGAAAGAACTGCTCCTGACTGAACAGTTTGAAGCTACTTCACTAGGAGAATTGCATCATGTTAAATGCATCAGATAAAATGCATGCATGTACATATTAGTGAATATCTGCTTAAAGGCCTGTTACTATTCAGAATTCTTTTATATTACAATAAATCCCCATATAGTAAACATGCTAGCAAATATAGAATGTGATTCTAAAAAAAAATATCAAAACAATCTAAACCAACACAGATTTCAGAGTCATGTAACTGAAACTTTTTATTTATTTATTTACATATGCATTCAACTAATGCCACTGAGATAGGCTATCTGAAGGACTACCCCAGCTCCAATTGCTTCTGTCTGTCCAGTACAATCAGGTAGAGTGCATTTGCTGGGGATTTCATCCATTTTACGGTGTCATCTTGTAGGATCCAGAAAGTGTGTGCAGCACCTGCCCTCTTAAGTGACTTTCTCTCAGAGATTTGCACACATAAACATCTCCATGATGTTTAGATAAATGTTGTAAACCTGATTGTTCTCCTAGACATTGGCATAGGTTTGGGGAGGCAAGGCATTGTTATTTTTGTCCGCTGATTTGGTATATTGTTTTTCCAGTCAGCTAAAGTTCTTTTTACTTGTTTCTCCATATGTTGATTATGATCTGTAAACTGCCCAGAGTCCTTAAGAATTTGGGTACTGTAGTCTCTAAATTTGTATGCATGGATGGATAAATTGATGCAGAGAGATAGCCAGATAATACTTCTTAGTTTTCATATCCAGTGTGCCCTCTGCCTTATTAATCCTATCTAAAGTCTAAGTTGAATAGCAATTATTTCTAGTTCATATTTCCTAAGATGCCAATGGCAGCTATGTTTTTGTGTAAATAAGCAAGTACATTCTGTTAAAACAATGTTTATCATTAAACTTGAAAAATTCGGTCCCTGTGCTTCTGGAGACATGGAAACCTCTGGACATGTCCTTCTTTTCTGCTGTTTTTATGGAGACATTTGAACAAAATTTATTTTCCTGATAATTAATAGGCATTCTGGCTGTTCCTATACTGTTTATCTTCAATGATTGCTTAAAGACAAACAGATTGTAGTCACAGTGCAGGTAGCTAGATTTTGCACAACAGCACTAAAGAATCGCTGGAACTTGATGAATAATCCATTATAACAATTTTATACAATTAATGCACCAAATCTATTTATATTATTACCCTGTTGTATTTTAGTACTTAATAACTATAGACTTTCACAATTAATAATACATTATAACAGGCCATGCTCTTGTTCATATGCAACTGATAGATTTGATTTGTTATTTGTCATTATTTTATTCTAAACTTTTAACTAGATACTGTTTGAATATTTTTAATTGTATTGGTCTTTGACTGTAATAAATATTTTAAATTTGAATATCATTAAGCTTGCAAAATAACTGTGAACAATAAACTGAATTACTACCATAAAGTTGTGATATAACTGAATGAAGAAAAATAAAGAATTCCTGATTAATTTGAGTCTTAATTTGCTTGCAAGGTGAACAATGTAAGTTGAAGGCCAATGCCAGGCTTGGTGACATCATAGCTGATTTTAGGAATGATTTTGTAAAACAAAGTTGTCTTAATTTTTTTTTTAGCATCTGGTTTTCAAGATGTAAGTCATTACTATTATCAGTTCATGGAACATAGATAATAAAATACATCCTCAGAGACTAAACATGTAGTTGACTTTATATGTGCAAACTATATTTAGTAGACCAAAACTAGATTCCAGTTGAGATTATTAGGGTACAATAGTAAACATGAATCAGTTGTCTGATCTTGTTCTCAGCATGGATTTGGTTTAATCATATAAAAAATTGTAATTAGCAGATGCCCCCATAGCAAATATCCCTGTAATATGCAGAACAATTTGACCACTCAAATTTTTCTTGGGGTGATTAATAGAATTTTCCTTTCACCATGACCATACAAAATTTTTGACTCTATAATAGTAAGATAGATTAATAAACTACATACAGTATTACTTCACGATACGTATAGTAAGAGGTTTACCTATAACATTGCACAGGTACAAATCAAACTTATTTAGCAATGCATTGAGTATGTTCTGTCTTATAGTTTTACTACATATGGATTATGATGTCACCTTCCAGGAATTCAAGACAATACTCATAGAACACCCCTCCCCCACTGTTTACAACATCAAACTGGGGTATGTGTGGGGGTAGATTTGACTGACCTAGTGCTGGTACAGAGTCACTTGACAAACTTAAATAATTAAAACTGGATTTGAACTTGGGTTACCATAATCAGAACACAGAACCTTAACAACTATACCACTTGCTGACTATAATAACTGAATATGCAGAGAGAAATTTTGGAGCCACTTGTTATTCTCCTAGAAGAATGGGAATTGTTGATATAAAAAAAGAGAAAAAGAAATGATAAGATGATCTGAAATCTAAAACTTTTGATGTGCTAGATGTGGTTTAATTTATTTTCTGAGTCTTACACTGACAATTCTTATTTTACAGAGAAACATTAGTGAGGGATGATTAATGAATGGTTAGGGCTACAAAATCTGGGCTACAAAAATCAAGACGTTTAGTTTTCTGCATCCTTTTGCTACCATCTAGTGGATGTCCAAATTTTTGCAGCATCTATTTTGACAGCCCAAATCTGAAAGCCATTTTCTGTATCACATTGCAAAGTACAATTTGGAAAGCTGCTTATTCGGAGTGGTGTTTCTGAAAAAAAAATAAGCAGAAGCAAATTTCTTATTTATTAGGATAGCAACAGTTTAGAATTGCTTAATAAAACCTGTATGTCAGCTGTACACAATATTTATATTTTTCACGATTCTATGTATTAAGACAAGGAACTAAGAGGTACCAATTAAATCTCTCAAGGATACAATTATTTTATCCCTTCAGAGAATCAAAAGAACTGCAGACTTCTTGGAAGGAACAAAATATTCCTTTATCTTTGATATTATAGGCTGAAGTTTTGAAACTAGTTTTTTTTCTTTCTTTAATACTGCTCTATTGGGTTAACAAATGAGCATAACACTACATTTTAACAGTGAAGAAAAGCCTTTATTAAAAATAATTCTATACAGGTTTGTTGTTGCTATCAATAGCCTATGGAGATTCTCGGTCATCCAGGTCAGTTATCCCAAAGGTGCTTTTTCATGAGGCAACCGGACTTTCTTGTTTTTCTTTGAAGACATTTCACTTCTCATCCAAGCTTCTTCAATTCTGACTGGATGGTGAGGAATGGAAGGATTTATACTCCTTGCAGACAGCTGGTCATTTGCATTCTTTTAGAGCAGGGGTGTCAAACTGCCGGCCCATAGGCCGGACGTGTCATCTGGAAGCCGCGCTCACCCCATTGCCGGCAATGGCAAAATCGTCCCGATACGTTGCGCATGACGTCGTGAGTTTGACACCCCTGTTTTAGAGAGTCACTGAGGCCACTTGGAGGTTTATCTGTGTCATCAGGGTCACCTGAGTAGTGCAAATGGGTGTGGAGCCTTCTTGGAACTGCTGTGTTGTAGACTGGAGATAGATGATGTCGTATCCCTCCCACTCTCAACAAAGAAAAACAAGAAAGTCCAATTGCCTGGTGAAAAAGCACCTTTGGGATATCAATAGTAATGCAAATCATTAGTGAGGCACACATATTGGGAGAAAATGAACCAATATAAACTGCCTATGACAGACTTCTCTTCCTTCTGGAATAACTAAGAGAGAAGATAAGAAGATGGTCTGTTTTAGAAATGTGGGCCACAAATAAATATGACTATTTTAAATTCCAGTCAGGTTTACGGTAAAAGAGATTTGTGTAAGGGAAAACTGGTTTAATTGGTCAGATTCCTTCTCCAAAGGGGGAAAAGGAGAACAAAGAAAAGATCTTGCAAATTCTGTTTGCTTTTAAGCATATATTTAGATGAATGCTTTATTCATACTCTACACAGTACCTGCATGCTGAATAAGAAAAAAGTGAACTTAGATTCCACCCTATTCTCTCTTTATATAGCTTGAACTGAAAATTACTTTCATTGTATCAATTTCTAAAGATTGTTTGGGGTTCATTTTCGAAAGGGACTGATAAATATTTGGGATTGTCTTGTCTTTAGAAACACACTTTACATTGTTTAATCTTATTTCCCAGTTATTGAAGGAGATATTGATTTTTTAATGTTTTTTTAAATGACACTGCCCTTAATTTTTTTTATGTAAGTGCTGCCATTTTAAACTAATGTAAGCCCTGTATTAGGGGATTAATATTAATATTATCACTCTTATTGTTGTTGTAAATATAATTTAGATATGGAATCTACAAACTCCAGGAAGTAAAATTTTTGTTTACATTACTTTTACAAACTATCTATTAATTTCACTTGTATTAAACATTGTTATAATTGTTTGTTTTTAACAGTTTAACAGTTTTAACATCCCCTAAAAGCTGGAAGTATACCAAATAAAATAAAAGCAATCTTCAATAAAACAGCCAATAATAAACCAGCTACTATAAACCAAGATGTGCCTAGATGTGTAATAAAACCTTAAAAAATAAGTAATTTGAAGTTCAAGTCTCTTAGAACTGACTTAGGAAGAACTGATCTCACAGGGATGGATATATTCCGAACGGCAACATAGTTTTAAAGAACTTTTTATGTTTCTCTAGCTATGAAATGGAAGGTAGTAATTTTCACCAGTGATCAGCCATCTTCAGGAACCAGCTCGCAAGTTTATATTACATTATATGGGGAACAAGGCAATTCAGGAGCTGTCTTTCTATACGGGGAGGAGAAAAAAGTGTTTGAAAGAGGAAGCACAGATACTTTCATTGTAAGTATTTATTATAACAAAAATTTAGACAAATGCCATTTAATTAAAAGTTTTCATTTGTTTAATATTAGTGATATGTGACTATTTATGGGAAACAGTATCATTTCGTATGGTGTCATTTTCTGTTTTCAACTGCCACAAGACTTGAGCCAAGTAATTCTATTTAAATTATATTAATTGCAATAATAGTAATAGCACTTATATACTGCTTCATAGTGCTTTAAAGTCCTCTCTAAGCAGTTTACAGAATCAGCATATTGCCCCCAACAATCTGGGTCCTCATTTTATTGACTTCAGAAGCATGGAAGGCTGAGCCAACCTTGAGCCAGTCAGGATCGAACTCCTGGCAGTGGACAAAAGTCAGTCTGCAATATTGCATTCTAAACACTGTGCCACCAACAGCTCCTAATGATATAATGATATGGCTGCTTCAATTTGTGACACAACTACGATGAATGCAACTTCTGTTACTGTTTTTTCCTCTTTGATCCTTAGCTTGGAATTTACTTCAGAAGAATGTATTAACAAATTGGTAGGACTCGTTCAAATGACTGATTTTTTCTTGCTTTTGTGAAAGCTAATTCTCACACTGTCAAAAATACAGCCTGATATCCAAAGATGAAAGAGATGGCAACTGTCTCCTGTTCAAAACGAGAGACCATCTAGTCCAGAATTCCCCAACCTTTCTGGTTGTGCACGAGCGGAGAGCAACTGCACCCACAGCCTCATTTGTGTGAGTGGCAGGCATACATGCTCACCCGCTGCTCATACAAGTGGGGATGCAGGCATGGGTGCATGATCTCCCACCATTTTGGATATCCCAGTTCTGAACAGCTCACAGCTCAGTAGTGGGCTGTGGCCCGGGGATTGGGAACCCCTGATCTAGTCCATTGCACAGCTCAGGTTGGGAAAAGAGCAGAAACATTTTGAACCTTTGGTTGTAAATAGTGTAAATTTATTTAAATAGTGATTTCATTTTATATACAATAGTAATTGAAACTATTTCATAATTGCCTAATGGTTTTTTTTTCCAAAATAAGACTAATTATCTGAACTTAAGTATGCTCAAACATCCATTTTAGATGTTCTTCTCTGTTTCTGAAGATGAAGGAAATTGTGACTACTAACATACCAGCACACAGTTCTATATCTGCCATTGCGTCTTCCTAAATATAAATCTAGTGAAGCCAGTAATACAGATATAGCCTATTCATTGGTAGATATTGCAGTTTGTTGTTAAGAGACAAGTATGTCAAATGACTGAGATGTCAGAGCTTTTAGAAGAAAAGAGGCTCAGAAATGGAATACTACTGGGATTCCATTGGTCAGATGGTTGCCTGCTTTGGTCTGTTCAAATGTATGGGACAAAAAAAGATTCAAATTGAAATACAGCTGCTAGCAGCTCATAACACTATGAATTTATTTCATGCTTTGTCAAAGCAATATCATTTATGACTACACAATGTAATTGTGTAATTTTGAGTTTAATGAATCTTAGTTCCTGAAAAATGTAGATTAAATTGAACAATAATTGCTATAATAACATAAAATAATCAGTAATATTCATATAGGTGCTGAAGTAATTCTGGCTTCTAAAATGATCATTTTAAGTCTTTGTAAATTTATATTAACAAACTGTAAAATGTTTTTCTAGTGAACACTCTGTTTGTCACAATTATGGTCTTAGAGTTTCTGTTTGATTACATTATATTTCAGTCTTCACAATGTCTGAAGCTTATGATCATTAAGATACAAATGATTTTGAGGGCAACATGTTGGGAAGAGATACATGATTATCTGGGTTACTGAGCTTAGTATGAAGTGAAATTCAAAATAACTTCATAGTTTCATTGAAATTGAAGAGGCTTTTCCTCTGAAATTTCCCTAGAAGTCTTTTGATTGGAAAAGTATTATAAATCTTATATATAGAAAGAAGTTATGGTAGCATATTTGTTTTCAAATAGACATATGATCTACTATTTGGTTTGCTATATAATACAAACAGATTCACACGGAAGACTTGGGAGATCTATACAAAATACGGATAGGACATAATAATTCTGGAGAAACCCCTGCCTGGCACTGCAAAGAGGTGACATAAATTAATACTATTTATTTATTTAGATTTATATGCCACCCTACTGATAAATGAACTGCATATACTGTAAAAACCTTGTTACATTTGAAGAGCTTAGAAAAATGAAAATGTCAGTCATGAACATACTATGTGCTATATGGCCAGAACGCTAGGATACAGTATGTTCCTCTCTGATTTTGTGATTGAAATAATGAAAATCTAAGGAATTAAATAAATGTTTCCCATATGTTTTCAAGTAGGATACATAATGGGGGGCAGTGAATAATATTTATTTATTTATTTATTTATTTGTTTGAATTTTTATCCTGCCCTTCTCCTTACGGACTCAGGGCGGCTGACAGCCTGGTAAAACAGATACAAAGACAAAAATACCCACTTTAAAACCCAATTAAAATGAAATATTTGATGTGGCCTGTGTCAATTTAAAATTATTCTTAAAACCCCACTAAAAATTCCCCTAGGCCAATCCCGCTTGTTGGAAGAGCCATGTCTTAAGGGCGCGGCGGAAGGAGGGGAGATCCGGGATCACCCGGATCTCTGGGGGTAGTTCGTTCCAGAGGGTGGGAGCTCCCACCGAGAAGGCCCTCCCCCTGGGGGTCGCCAGCCGGCACTGTCTGGCTGACGGCACCCTGAGGAGACCCACTCTGTGGGAGCGTACCGGCCGATGGGAGGTAATCTGCGGCAGAAGGCGGTCTCGGAGATATCCAGGTCCGATGCCATGGAGCGCTTTGAAGATGATGACCAACACCTTGAAGCACACCCGGAAGGCCACCGGCAACCAGTGCAGCTTGCGCAGCAGTGGTGTTACATGGGAGCGACGAGTCCCTCCCAACACCGCCCGCGCGGCCGCATTCTGGACCAGTTGGAGCCTCTGGGTGCTCCTCAAGGGGAGCCCCATGTAGAGAGCATTGCAGTAGTCCAGGCGGGAGGTGACGAGGGCATGGGTGACTGTGCGCAAGGCGTCCCGGTCCAGAAAAGGCCGCAACTGGTGTATCAGGCGTACCTGATAAAATGCCCCCCTGGGCGTTTTATCTGTAACACTGAATGAGATATGACATTGCATTATGATTGTTTGCTTATGTGCCACCAAATCAGTGTCAGTCAACTCTTAGCAACCACACAAATAGTTTTTTTTTCCAGGAGGCTCTGTCCCAACCTGGTCTGTCAGGCACTCTGGTTAGAACATGTAGTTCAGAGAGAGCATCTTAACATGCATAACCAATCTATTTCGTTTGTTGGCAAATAGAGCTTTATATATTATCTTCTCCTGCTGGACAGAGAGAAATAAACCTTTATGAACATGCACAAACACACATATACCTACACACAAACACAAACAACCTGGATGTTATCCTAATCATACTTTAAGTGTAAAGTTAATATAGTCTCTCAATGAAAAGTTTTCACTGCTATAGAATGTAATTAATAGGCTTGAAATTTCTTTAGGGTCTCTTGAATATTTTAGGGCATGGAGTGAAAGCATTTTGTTCACTCTGGATATGCAAAATCCTATTCTATCCTTAGAACTCTAAGAAGCTCAGTTATAGTAAAGCACACATGCAAAAACACATGCAAACATGCTCATATACTACTAAAATAGCATATGAAACCTTTGAATTACGTTCTGCATGCCTGTAAGATGAGTGTGAAAAATGAGTCTTTTTTAAACATAAGCTCAGTAATTGATCCTAAGAATGGATTGTAATAGCAAAAAGCCCTACTCCATTTCGGCAAAGGATAACCTAGATTCAATTGTCTGTCTTCAGCTGCAATTGCAGAATCTTGTAACAGGAGAAAAATACGATTTCTCTGTTGAAAAGTGGCTGACGCAAACTCAAGATGAAGGTGAAATCAGTCAGGAACTTCCTGTTTTGCATCAGGGGCAGCCCATTCTTCCAGGTAAGATATGTATTTGATCATTCTGCTGATTGAGTAATTTCCAGATATTTGTGTAAGAATTTATATTAAATATAAATTTAAATTAAATATATATACTGTATTTTGTGCATGTGTGTACGTGTGTACGTGTGTGTGTGCGCGCACGCGCCACAATTAAGATACTGCCAAACTTTTAAACCTAAATTTCATGGTAATACCAGGCATATAAATCAATGTCTAACTACATTTGGCATTCTGTATGCTTTATAATCAGTGCACCTCAAAAAGATCATTAATGTATCAATGGAAAACAAGGAGCCAGACTAGCCAAAAGGACAAAAAAACAACAACCTGGAATAACACCTATATGAGCATCAGTTGCTAAAAACTGGGGTCATCCACTGAAACTGAATATAGAAGAGTCTGGACAAATAAGTATTTATACAGTCCTAAGAACTTTTCTTCCACAAGATATAGAGATAGCTGCCAATTTAATACTTTTGAGGGGATTAAAGATATTTTATGGTGGGAAAGACTCTTAATAGTTGCAAACATGATTAACAGTTGGGTTCGCCACTGAGAGAGAAAAATGATATTCTAGTTATGTCTTTGGCTTGATACACAGCTCCAGATCATTTGTTTTGTCAGGTTTCAACCTCAGGGACAAACAGATTTATTTATTTCTGTTTGTCCTGCCTGATGTGGTATGAGAGATAGGTAGGAGAGCAGGTTGCATGTTCTATCACCCAAGGAGTATTGACAAGGCTTCAAAAAATAGCCTTTTCTGTCATTATACCTGGAACATCATCCCCGTAAAATTAGATTGGGCCTACCACACTGCTGACCTTTCATAAGTCTTCGAAGACCTGGTTCTGTGCCTGAGCCTGTGCCAGGTGTGGAATGGAACTGATTTTTTGGGTATGTTGAGGATTTGTTATGGTTCTCCAACCACCATGTGTTTTATTGTAATTTATGCATGTTTTAATTGTGAGCAACCCAGAATCATGTACTTGAAATGGTCAGCTAGATACAGTGAATAACTATGATGTTGATACATGTTGAGTCAGCAGTATAAAATAGTTGTACATAAAGCATAATGTTGGTAAATTGCTGTCCTTCATTATTTTCAGTGGCAATGTACAAGGTGCATGTAGTAACTGGTGATCTCTGGAATGCTGGGACAGAAGCTGATGTGTACATAGCAATCTATGGAGAAAAAGGTGACACAGGGTGCCGACAGCTGCATAGGTCAATGAAGTCTCAAAAACCTATGAAAGGACAAGTAAGTGAATTAAAGTAAATGCCCTCCTCTCATAGAACAAGCTGCCAAATAGATATACTATCTATGAAAGTCCTTTTTTTTACCTGAAATATAGATAAAAAGGTAAATTTTCAGTTATGTCCAACTCTAAGGCACAGTGTTCTTTTCTGTTTCTTGGCCAAGGGAACCAGCATTGTCAGAAGGCACTTCCATGCTCATGTGGCCACCATGGCTATACGCTGAGACTCATGGAACACTGTTACATTCTCCAGCACAGGAGATGGAGAATCCACCAATGGGTTTTCTCTGTCTGCCTGCTCTTGAGACCAAGTTAGCCAAACCTGACACACCCCCTGTTGCTAGGAGAGCCCTGGGGAAGGAGACGGGGAAGCTGCTGCTAACCCCCCACCCCTCAAGCCTCAAATTGGCCGATTTGAAGCAGCGCTGATCCCAGTGCTCCTGGGGAGCCGGTTGTGAAAATACAAGGCAGGATCTACTGACCTGGTGAGGAATCTGATTGAGGCAAGTGAATGAGGTAAGGAGAATTCACCAATGGATCTCTAACCTGCTAAATATAATTTCTGGATCTCTGATTTCTGAGAGCCAAACCTGACACATCTTCAAGAGCTTGAGACCAAGTAAGACTGGGATCTCCTAGCAACAGGGGGCATGCCAAGTTTGGCTAACTTGGTCTCAAGAGCAGCCAGAAAGAGAAAACCCATTGGTGGATTCTCCATCTCCGTGCTGAGAAAAGGCGTTCAGGTAAGACAACGCCCCTTCCCAACGAAGTGGTTTCTATTTATCTAACTGCATTTGCATGCTTTTGAACTGCTAGGCAGGCAAGAACTGGGGCAAGTAACTGGAGTTCATCCCATTGCATGGGCTGTCAGCTCTCCAGCTGACAAGCTTAGCATCTTTAACCGCTGAGCCATTGTGCCCAAAATGTATTTTTTGTTTTTCTCCCCTAGACAATTGAATTGAGTCCCATTTTGGTTTTCTAATTTTTCTATTTGGCCCACCATTTTGTATATTGGGATATTTGAACAACATAGGTTACCTTTTTGTCAGTGTTATCATGTTACACTGCCCAAAGTTACATTGTTTGAGTTGAGCACCATTATAAATGTGCAAAATAAATAAAATAAGTTCATATAAATATAATGCTTTTCACAATTCAGCAACTACTATTAAGTTGTATAGATCTGCATCACAAACAATATTTATTAAAAAAATAACTTCATTAAATTATAGAATTATTGTACATACACTCATATAGATTTTAAGAAGAAAGGTTGATTAAATATGATTATGTCTTTTTCCTCCTCTTTTAGTCAATGCTAAATGACTTCCTTTGGTATTTTCCAGTTTAAAAATGCTAGACATCTATTTATATATGAAACTTACAGCAGATGAACAGAACAGTTATTTGTTAGGGAAAAGAGGAAATTGCACCTTAAATTTTTAGCATGAATAATAAGTACTTCCAGCACTGCTAAGTCAATTTAGCTTTAATGTAGCAATTTTGTGACTATGCTATATTCACTCCCTTAATTAGCCTGAGGCAATATAAATCTTGTAGAAACTGAATTTAAAGAAAATTATAAACAGTTTTAGTGTGTGTTTGTGGCTTTAAAAATTATTTATCACAGTTTAATTCAATTAATTGGAGTAAAACATCTTACTGATTTTCTTAACTTGTGCATTTAACAGTAATTGATTAAAAGTATTTTTCCCAGTATTGCTCTTTTAATACAAATAGAAACTTGTTTAAGATTTATGTTTCACATTTACATATGTGGGTTACTTGAAAGAGAATGAGAAAAGACAAAACACAAATTCTTAAAATTAAGTGTGTATTATTTGCTTGATTGCAGACCGATACATTCTCACTTGAAGCTGTGCACCTTGGACATTTATGTAAAATTGTTATAGGACACAATGGACTTGGCTCAGGTCAGAAATTTTAAAGTATTTATGTACTTCAATGACATAGAATATGATATGTTTTTTTTCATAGAACTATTGGGAGTTTAAGAATAAACATTTCTGAAGAAAAAGCACTGGCCCATTTATGGAGAGAAAATTATTAAGGGAGATCTGGCACCTTTCCCCAGCACTGCTTCTGATACCTGTGGGGGAAAAAATTGTTTAACTTTTACACATTATATGCACATTTTGTCGATGATTTTTTTCAGACTCCAATGATTCCATTCTTAAATTTCTTTAACATTGATTATTAAGTAATAGTCATTATTTATTAATTACTTATTTTATTTTATACATTATACTTGTATATGAATAATAAACTGGTTTTCAAAAGTAAAATGCCACTATACAATTGTAGTCAGCAGAATGCTGTGCATTCAGTACTATAAGCATGAACAAAAGGAAGGATAAAATTGCATCTTAGATAATTAACATAACTACAGTATTTAGAAAGCTGTATGTTCCTTCAGAAAAATGGATGGTAAGAGTGTTGGAACAGGTAGTGTGACTCACATAGCCAAATACCTGGGTGTGCTTTTCAATGCTTCACAAGATCTTAAAATGTGAGCTGATACATTTTTGGAGATAACTAAGAGATAGTACTAGGTCCCAAGCATTCTAGGACCATATAAGTTAATATCTACCATATCCCAGCAAAACCTATTTATTTCTGAACCTCCTTCAAGAAAAATATGTATGAAATTGCTCCAATCTTTTATAACTAGAAAATGAGCTTAATATTCTATACTTTTTTGAGCATCTGGACTATTTTCAAGGACAGGCTTTAGCAGGAGATATTACATAACCTGTGATTCTACAAATACAAATTCCTTTATTGTCAAAGTACAACATGTGTACAATGAGATTGGCTGAGCCTCCCTTTGTGCACTCCCCCATCACAACTCACAATGACAACAAACACACAATCTTATTGCACCATGTGAACTTATTGCACAATGCGCCGGCCCCGCAACTCTATCATACATGGAGTTATTTTCCATTCAGGAGTCTGACAGCCCATGTGCAGAAACTGTTCTTCAGCCTGTTGGTGCGGCTGGCTATGCTTCTATATCTCTTACCCGATGGTAGAAGAGTAAAGAAGTGCTGACCAGGGTTTGAGTCATCCCTGAGAATTTTCCTCACTCTTCTAAGGCAGCGGGCCCTAGCGATGGCGTCTAGTAGTATCAGGGGACAGCCCACAATGTTTTGTGCTGTGCTCACGACCCTCTATAGCAGTGGTTCTCAACCTTTTTAATGCGACCCCAACCGCTCGTAAGTCGAGGACTAAACCAGTTGTAAGTTGAGGACTAAACTGGTCGTAAGTCGAGGACTACCCAACCGGTCATAAGTCGAGGACATTCCCTTCCCGGGAGCACCGCACATGCGTGGTTCCGCCCCCTGCACCGGCCGAGGCGTAGCTGGCAAGCGGCAGAGACGGAGCAGGCCGACCACCAGCTGGCCCAGCCCAAGGGAGGTAAGGCACCCGCCGGAAAAGGGGAAAAAATGGCAGACAAAAAAAATGGCGGACAGCCTTGCTTGGCGACCCCCGTGAAATGGTCGATCGACCCCAAATGGGGTCCCGACCCACAGGTTGAGAACCACTGCTCTATAGTGTCTTTCTATCCGCGGCTGTCAAGCCAGCATACCACACCATAATGCAATGTGAGAGATTCTAAGGCCCAGATTATATGTCCTTGACACACAAGATTTTAGATCTTTTCCTAAAGAATCTACATTTGCATAGCTCAATTTCCATTTATCATCCTAAACAGTAGATGCTTTATATTGCGAATTGTCTTGGTGTCACAGCTGTCTTGAATTAGAGATAAGAAATACAATAAACAAATAAACAAGCAACTGAATATTGCAGCACTGTATGCATTATTTAAATGTAATACAAAAAATGGCTAATTTTGTGTGCTGCTCTTTTAACTTACCAAGTATGTAAGCTTGCACTTTTTGAATAAGTCAGTACAGAGCTGTCATGAGATTGCAGTGATATTAATACATACTTGACTTGATTTCACTATTAAGAATGGAATATTTATATTCTCACCTAGGAAATGGTTGGTTTCTGGAGAAAATTGTAGTCCAGGATCCTATCACAAACTCAGATTATATCTTCCTATGTTACAGGTTTGTTCAGTTTATTATTTTTAAAAATTATAATAGCCAGTTCACAATGTAAATTTTTCATCTGATTGGAATGACTAAGGTAAGAGAGAAGCAAAGCACTAAGGAGCTGACAACTGAAGGTCCTTCTGACTGAGGGAGCTTTCTAGGACCAGCTGCCCAGGAGTTGATTTTTCCAACTCTTTGATGTTTGGGAAAGGTGAGGTATAGGTAAACACTAAGGAACAAAGTCCCTTCAGCCTCAGATTCCTTAAAAACTATCCTCACCTGTCTCTCAACCCTGCAGTAATTGTCAAACTGAACTTTCAAACAGCTGATTGATAATGAGAAAAAAAAATTCCTCAGTTCAAATTAAATTCCATGTGGCATTCTCATTTTCAATTCTTCCTTAAAACGCTATTGAATTTCAGATATTTTTCACTTTTGCAATATATCTTAAACTTCTGCCACAAAGTTTGGCTGGTTGTTCTTTGCTAGAAAGATAATTCTGTTAATGGAAAGACTTTCTTGGCTTCATTGAGATCTGAACATAAGAGCACTTTTGTGTCTTATGTGTCACTGTGTTACTTTTGTGAATTCTCTACTTCAGCAGTTATCTGTAAGGTTACAGCCAGACTAGGTCCCTCCAAGGTGCCTTCCAACTCTGTTATTCTGTTATTCTGACTACAAACAGCCTGATGATCATTAGATGGCAGACATACTTAGATTTTTCTCTTTGCTGCATTAATGGTTATGTGGAATTTTACAGCCCAGATATATTAGTCCTAAGGGAAGACCACAAATTAAAAACATGAATTCAGCAACTGGTACAGAATTGTAAACTGCCTCTGATACCTGAGATAAATATATACCTAGTCCAAGTGATATATTGTACAATTTCAAGCTTTATATTTTGCCTGAATCAAAATGAACTCCTGATTTGTTTTCAAGTGACAAAATCAGGGGTAATTTACTTCTAATCATTTTCATGTCCACATACAGAAAATCTGTTGTGTATTTGAAATTCTATATTTTAATTATACTTGGCCTTAATTATACTTCATGTTTCATGTGCCCATGGTGGCAAAACCTTGTGAAAATAGATGTTGTCTTATAAAATAATCTTTGTTTCTTTTTGCTTTAAATGAATTATATTGTGGCTATTCAAGGAAGAATGTTCCCAAATTATATCTTATTTAAGATACTTTATCTAATTTTAGATCATGCAGCTCAGCCACATTGATTTGTAGCTGAGTTTTATTTTTATGTATGCATACATTATGTATGTATATATGCTTTAAAGTGTATATGAACCATAGTTAAGTATGAAAATAAGTAAATATTTATTTATTATTGCTAAGAATATGTCACTTTATGTCACTTTAATGCCATAAAATTAAACAGCTTATACTGCAATGTCATGTTCAGTAAAAAGTTACAGGAAATAAGTTCTTGAAATGCAATGTAATTGTAGGAATGTTTTGTTCATATCAATTATATATTCACAATTATATATTCAATCCATTCCTGCTAGTGCTTTTCTAGAATAGACTATCTTCTCCTTTCCCCACACTAAAACATCAATGGCTGTAAGAAAGTTTCTACACAGCCATAGATAGATAGATAGATAGATAGATAGATAGATAGATAGATAGATAGATAGATAGATAGATAGATAGATAGATAGATAGATAGATAGATAGATAGATAGATAGATAGATAAATAGATAGTCAGTCAGTCAGTCAGTCAGTCAGACAGACAGACAGACAGACAGACAGAGACAGAGACAGAGACAGAGACAGAGATAATTGTATAGAAAATGATTTGTTTGTACCTCTGTAGGCATCCTTGTATGTCTTTAGTTCTTCATTCTGAAATATGCATCAGTTTAATGGATTTTCCATTCAAAATTTTCATCATCCCTGGCGTGATCTTTGTACAATCAGGTCGCCATGTTTTTCTGTATAATCAAGAAGTGGCCCAAAGTGCAACCCTCATTTCATGTATATAGTTTTTAATTCATATTAATGTTTTTGGTTTAAATAGTAGCATGCCAAGATATATTCTTATTACATAATATATTTCTCCCCCTAAGATGGCTAGATCAAGGAGAAGATGATGGCAAAATTGTCAGAGAACTTTATGTCATTGATAATTACACCATTGCAAGGAGTAAGTATATGCCAAAGTCCTTGAGGAAGGACATTCTCTGAAAAAGACTGAAAAATTATATGTATATGTATATGATATTATGATATTATTAATTTTTGTAGCATCTAGATAACATAGACTCTGAATTTCCTAAAGTCTGGTGCACTGTACGATAAGAATAATATCACTGGATATTTCTTTGAAACAGAAGGATTAGCATAGAGTTCAGAAGCTGAATAATTCTAAATA